AGAATGAAATGATGGAATTTGCTGGTAAATGGATAGAGCTGGAGAATATTATGCTAAGTAAAATAAGCCAACCCCAAAGAACCAAAGGTCAAATGTTGTCTCTGATATGTAGATTCTAATTCACAATAAGGGAAGGTGTCCAGGGAAGAATAAAGACACTTTGGATTAGACACAGGACAATGAAAATAGGAGAGGGCTATGGGGGTAGGTAGCATAGGAGAATAAATCACACATTATTACCCCATGTGCATATATGATTACACAACCAGTGTAACTTTATATCATGTGCAATCAGAAAAATGAGAAGTTATTCTGAACTTACGTATTAAGTGTCAAAATGCATTCTACTTTCATACATAACTAATTAGAATTAAAAAAAGGCAATGTATTTGAGCATGCTGAAAAAGTTTAAGATATTTTTACTGGCCCTTTAAGTGACTGTGGACCCTATCTATATGCTGCAGAATCTATATGGGTCAGAAGGATTAGCTGGCCCTCCTTCTAGAGAGTCTACTGTCTGTACAGGAAGGAGAGGCCTGGCATGCATGATGCTGAAAGCAGTGCCCAGGCCTGCAGGGTGTGAGTATCTTCCTTTATGAATTTCCTGCCAGTATCCATTCTCTACAGCAGCCCCTATTATACACTGTGGCCCATCAGAGTTCCATGTGTGGTATAGATAGCATTTTATATTACTGCTAGACTTGTTTATTTTCTAACTTTTGAAATACCATATATATATTTTCAAGATCACCCAATCAAGATAATTAAAATTCTTATTACATAATTCATTACCTAATAATGAAAGTGACAAAATCAGAAAGTGCCTCTAATTTGTTACACCTTCATAGAAACCATTATCAACAGCAGCAGCAGCAATGGACACATACAGGCACATCCAAAAACAAATGGCCACTTTAACAGGCCATGTTTTAACTTCAGATTTGCAAATGTGAAACTTTAATTTTAGTGTGGAAGAAATGAAACAACTCCTGACCTCCTTGTAGTTCTTCTTCAGATAGGCCAGCTCTTCAGTCAGGTTCTCAATCTGCATCTCCAGGTCAGCTCTGGCCAGGGTCAGCTTGTCCAGCACATTTAGCAGGCCATTGATATCAGCCTCCACAGTCTGGTGTTGAGCCAGGTCATTCTCATACCTGAAAATCAGTTTAACTATTCAATACAATGATTTGGACAAGGACAACATTTCCAATATTGGCAAAAATTATCTGGCAAAACAAAGGGAAACATGGAAAATGAAGTCCTAATATACATGTAGATTACAAATATATTTTTGGCACAAAATTCAAGTGGTAACATTAAATTCTCTTTCATTAAGAATTTTTTTAAAAGTGATATTTAAACTACAGCCTGAGGATGCAAAATCAAGGAATGATGGTAAAACCCTACTCTCATTTCAAGTTCTAAGAGCAACCCTTTAAGATAAATAGTATTATTCTTATTTTATAGAAGAGGAAACTGAGGTTCAGAGAAGTCACCCAGGTGACATGTGGCAAAAGAAAGACTCAAACTCCTGGCTGCATGATGTAAAAGGCAGGAATTGAAGAGGCTGTGGTCAATCATGACCAGGAAAAATGGAAACATCAGTGGAAGGTGCCTGTGTAGGCTCAAGAGAGACACTGATAGTAGAAGTGATAGGATATTAAAGAGGTGTCAAAGATGACTCCCTGT